AAGAAATATATATATATATATTAGCCAACACATGAAACATATCAGCCAACAAGTAAAACATATCAATCAAACTAGCCGCACGGAAATTTGCGTGCGGGCATCCACACGCAATAGCTTCTCTAAAAGTAATAATGTGAAGAAAAATTATACTCCATTATATTATTGTAAGAAGCATATCTTGTATTGGATAGTGTCGATACCGGTATGACTTGGATAGAATTAGGCCAGGTCATCAACTCTCTACCAATTACGTTATCAGCCTACCACCCATAACGACCTATTACATACATCGGCCACGTGGAGAGCTGCTTTCAACTACGTGGACATCCATTGTCCACTTGACACACTTGCCACCTACATTGATCTATGGTACCAGTTTGGTTATCTTCCTATAAATACCCAAGCATAATTCACTTCTAAGGTACGATCTTTTTCTCTCTCTAGACATTTCTCTCTCTAAATATCTCTATATCTCATCTTTTTTCTTACTCTTATCATCCGGTTGCTAACTTTAGCATTGGAGCGGTTATTCCCGGATAAAACCCCAGGTTAGCTAATCCTCGTTGATTGTGCAGGTACTCAGTTGGATACTCCCTCCGTCCCATAATACATGAAATGTTGGACTTTTTTTCACTATTCATACATTAGGTTTGACCATAATTTTTTGAAAAAATTGCTTTAAATAATACCACCTTTCACCCGTCCGCTAAAAACAAGTCGACCTTTTGATTATCTCTAAATAATACTACCTTTGGGGGGTGTCCGCTTTAAACAAGTTATTTTACCCACAACCTGAATAATTGGTTAATTTTTTTTTTTTTAATAAATTCATTTAACAATGTAATTAACTCTTAATAACAACTTTAATTATGATTTATTAACAATTAAATCAAAAAAAGAAAAATAAAAAAAAAAAAAAAAATCAGCCCCCTCCTCCTTTTTTTTCACCTTCCTCCTTACCCATGTCAATGCAGTCAACCCCACCACCCCTTAAACGACACCCATCCCCACCACCATTGTAACACTTCGGTGGCCCCTGTCCTCATCCCCACCACCAGAATCGCCCTCTCACCTTTCCGACCACCACTGTCCACCCCACCCCCATCCCTAGCCTCACTGCCCCCTCCCCGAAACCCACCCTGACAGCCCCTCTTCCTAGAACCAAGCCCTGAAACCACTTGTCGTTCCCCCTTCGAAAGCCCTTCCCTGAAACCCACCCTGAAAACCCCCCTTTCCAAAACCCAGCCCCGAAACCGCCCTAAAAATCCTCTTTTCGAAACTAGCCCCGAAACCAACCCTGAAAACCCCACCCTTCCCGAAATTGCCCGGAAACCCCTCCTTCCCGAAACCAGCCTCGAAACCTAATCTGAAAATCCCCCCTTTCCCGAAACCTAGCCCTGAAACCGCCAAGAAACCTACCCCTCCACGAGCCCAGAAAACCTACTCACCCTCCACCACTATCAAGAACCAATCAATTTAGGGGTTGGGTTCGGTTCGGCGTGGTGGGTTTTGGGGGGGGGGGTTTCAATCCTGTGGAGGTGCGGTCAGGTGAGAGGGGGTGGGATTTAGTGTTAGGGATGAGGGTGGCGTGGGGTGGGGTGGGGTTCAATTAAGGGGGTTGTGGGTGTTGGGGGTGGTGGTCAATGGTGGGGCTGTGGTTGTGGGGGTGGGGGTCAGTTTGGTACAGGGGTGGCAGTGGGGTTTGGTGGTGATGTTGTTGTTATGGAGAATGATGGTGGTGAGGTGGGAAAAGAGAGATTAAAGAAAATAATAACAATAATAATAATTTTAAAAAGTTAAAAACATTAAAAAAAATATATATATTTTCAGACCAATAAACTGATGACACGTGTCCATATAACCCATTAATCAGGTTACCAACAAGTTACAACTTGTTTAAAGCGGACAACCTCCAAAGGTGGTATTATTTAGAGATAATCAAAAGGTCGACGTTTTAGCATACGGGTGAAAAGTGGTATTATTTAAAGCAACTTTTCCTAAGTTTTTACTAACATAATAAAAATATATTTTATCATAAAATATGTTGTTAGATAGGTCTTAATATAAAGTTTGATAATATAATCTTTAAAATAAAGTCAAACTAGTGCATTAGCATGTGTGCAATGTTTGACTGTGTCATGTATTATGAGACAAAGGGAGTATAAATCTTTACTGATTCTAGATTTTAGTTACCGGAGCTCACCCAAAATATATATGATTGGATTTTTACATAGGATATAAAAAACATATCAATCCGGCCAAATCATCAACTCGAATGATAAAGGAGAATAGATCACACTATGTGAACTAAACCTTTAATGCATTAATAGTGATTATGGTAGCTAGTAGTTAGTCATTAAATTTGCTCCTGATTTATTCCAAAACATATTGGTGGAAAGAGGCTGACTCAAGTCTCAAAAGATCGATCACTCTCAACACAATAAAATTATACTCGTAAAAATTAATATTGAGTACTATTTTATACTTCATAAATATAAATTTTTATTCATAGCAATTTTATGATATACGGAGTAGTTCATTTTTCTTATATGTATAAGTAAACCTCACAAAGTGTTAACAAAAAATTAGAAATATAAATAGACAAGTAAGGATATCAACTAGGACACCTATCTATCTTTCTTTTGCAAAGTTTAAGGATACCACTGTTCTTGTACTGTAACTCTCTTTGCATAATTATGATTAAAAAAATACCAAAATATAATTTTATTTTCTTAAAATTGTATTTGTGCAAAGGAACCATATATCCAATCACCTACTGGAATATTAGAGAATTTATGAAGATTACTCCATAAGAGCTCCAAAAACCTTAGTATATACTTTTCATTAGTTGCTATTAATGATTGTTTGGTTGACAAAATAAACTAAGGAAATTGAAAATTCATGGAAATTTATGGATAGTTATTTGGTTGACAAAAAAAAAAATTGCAAAAATAGACGAAGTAGTAATTCTGCATATTATGGGAATTTCAACTTCACACAAAATATAGAAAATAAATTGCTAAGGTTCTCATTAGTCAATTAAATTTATTTATAGAAATTTCAACTTCCTGTTGTCACAACCAAACGAATTAAAGATATTACTAGGAATTTTTTTAGGAAAATAACTTCCCATATAATATAGCTTTCTACGGAAATTTATTTTCCATGTTAACCAAAGGTATATTAATGCAACACAATCAAGAGCTTAAAACTTCGGTGGACTAAAAAAAAAAAAAAAAAAAAAAAAAAAAAAAAAAAAAAAAAGACCAAATGGATCGAGCCAATCTCTTTATATCACTTGTTGATGACTTGATAGTTGAAAGTAGCCTTTTAGTTTTATACTGATGGTTGGCCTGTGAAGCAAAGTTGTGTCACTAGCATGATCATACTAAACTACAAAGTTGAAAAAAGTGGTTGTATGACCATGGATATTAGGAATTTAGGATGAAAACGGTTAAACGGGGCATTAATGCGATAAGTATTAAATATAGATTAGGGATGAAAATAGCAAGGAAAAATTGTCATTAATAATATAACTTTTGGACCGGTTTTTTTTTTTTTTAATAATACAATATTTTGATTATTTTGTAATAATATAATCTTTGGGGTGTTAATTTTAAACAAGACATAACCGAATGTAACCGGATAAATAAGTTACAACTGCCACGTGCCGCTACATGATTGGCTTAAATAAGTTTTTAATTTTTTTATTTTATTTTCTCTCTCCTTCCTCAAACACCACCACTGCTCCACCCTCTATCTCCATCCCCATCACTGTTGTACCACTCGGTGTCATCCTCACCACCAGAACCAGCCCTTCCCCTTCCCGACCACCGCTGCCAACCCCCACCACCGGGCCAAAACTTCCACATAACCCACCAACCAGTCTCGATTCCACCCCCACAACCCCCATTCCACCTTTCCCGACCACCGCAGCCAACCAAGACCACTAAAAATTCCCACAAACCCCATCATTCCACCAACGAGCCGCTACCACCAGCAGCCACCTCACGAACCGCCACCATCTACCAAAACTCCCACCCAGCACACCTCACGAACTGCAGCCACCAGCAGCCGCTGCATGCTACTCCCTCTCCTCGCACTCGCATCACCAATTCCCCAATTGCGCACCAATTACCACCAATCTGCCATCCCTAATCAGTAAATCTCCACCAATTTTCAACATTTTTGCCCTCCACCTTTTATTGAGATTTGTGATTGGTGGTGATGGCGGGCATGATGTGTGAAGAAGAGAATAGGGTCGGGGGTGGTGCCGGTGGTCGGAGATTAAGGATGGACGAGTAGGTAGGCTCGGGGTGGGCTTTCACCGGTAGCTAGCAGGAGAGGGGGCTGAACATGGAGGGGTAGGGGAGTTTTTTTTTTTTTTTTTTTTTTTTTTTTTTTTATGTAAATCAATTTTTTTTTTAAATCAAAATTTAATGTTTAGACAAATTACATAATGACACGTGACAAAGGTAAGCTTTTTATCAAGTTACAAGTTTTTGTATTGTTTAAAATTAACACTCCCAAAGGTTATATTATTACAAAATAATCCAAATGTTGTATTACTAAAAAATAACCGGCCAAAGGTTGAATTATTTTTGGCAATTTTTCCAAATAGAAATAAGCATTCTTCATTTTCAAGATTTTTATTTGAGAGTTGGCGCCGACGGTATGTTGTATGCTTTATTCCTTTCTTTTTAGTTAATTGGGTGTTGTTAAACGTCGTTCGCATTTTACTATGTGACTTTCACATTTTTTACATGAATTTCCTAAATTGCCCTCCGTATATAAATACTCGATAAAGTAAGTTAGGGCTTTACGAGACATTTCCCATCTCACAAAATCACTCTTTGACACTTTCTCTCTCTAAAACCTTCCAAAAAATCTGAAATTTTGAAAAAAAAAATCAGAAATTTTTTTTTTTAAAAAAAAAAACCAAAATAGTTGAAGGCTACTCAAACACAAGCAAATCTTGCAATCAAACGTTGAATCCGACAATGGCAGACCGACGGAGAATTAAGCTGACGTTTGGTGGTCGTGATGGCGGCGTTAGCGGCGGCGAGCCGGTGAGTTTTTTTTTTGTTTTAAATTTTTGAATTTTGAAAAAAAAAAAAAAATTCTGGACAAGGGGACTTCCGCTCAAAAATTCCGGAAGTTCCCCTGGACTTTCGGATTGTCTAGGCGGAAGTCCAGTTTCCAGGTTTTATTTTTTTATTTTTCTGTTATTCCCCCTTTTTTTTTTTCTGTTTTTCCCTTTTTTTTTTTTTGGTTTTTGTGTTTTTCTGTTTTTCCACCTTTTTTTTTTCTGTTTTTCCTTTGTTTTTTAATTTATGTTTTTCTTACTTTTTTTTTGTCCTCGATTTTGTTGATTTGGTGCATGTTTTAATTTGAAAATATTTGTGTCCTTCATTTTTTTTATTTTTTTTATTTTTTTTGAAGTAATTTGTGTCCTTCATTTGTGGCATTAAAATAATTTTTTTCTTGATTTAGTTTTGCAATAGTTATTGATATGTAATTTTTGTTGATTTAGTTTTACAATAATTATAGTTTTACAATAATTATAGTTTAGCATTAAAGTAAGTTTGTTGTTGCTATGTATTGTTATTGTTATGTAAATTTGGTTTGGTTTGTATTGGTTTTTGCTGCTGTTGTTGTTATGTATTATGGTTGTTTACTTAAATTGTTGTTATTGTTATTGTATTTGTAATTGTTTTTATATTGGGTTGTCGTTGTTGCGTTTAAATTTTGGCAGTTTTGTGGTTAATTATAGTTTTGATTTGGTCTGTTATTGTGTTGAAATCATTTGTAGTGTGTTAGTGTGTTGTTATTGTTAGTAGTGTATTAGTATTGTAAGAATAATATTATTGTTATTATTTGTAATGTTGTTATTATTGTTTATTTGATTTGATTTATTATAGTTTTGATTTGATTTTTTTGACTATGAATTATTATTGAAATATGATTCTGTACTTATTTTTTTAATGCAGATTGAGGGTTCTGGTCCTCATCATGCAAGATCAAGACGTTTGAATGCGTCTGTTAGGAGGGAGTTAGGTGGTGCAGGACCTTCACATGCACCGTTTCAGCATGAGCAGCAGTATGGGACTGCTGGTGCTTGGTCGGGGGAGCACCAGTCACAGGGGACCGCCCCCATGTATTCGTCTACTGGAGTGCCTTCATCAGATGAGGATGAGGATGAAGATCGAGGAAGTCAATCTGCTGGAGATGCACAGTACGACCCTCAGGATTACCGTACTGTGTATAGGGGTGACCATGGGAGATATGTTAGCAGTAGTGAACCAGGTCAAGCTTCTACCAGCTCGTCAGAGTCATGGGTGGTGCAGGAGCCGATGCCAGGTGGGCCTGAGGATGGTACCGTTATTCCGAGTTTTGGGGGTCACGTGTCTGCCTACATATGGGGTGGGCAGGAGCGAAACGTGCTGCGGTGTTTGAGCAGGACACAGTTGTGTTCTGAATTGGGTAACTGGCGCGCTCGTCTTCCGCCGGAGCACCTGGAACCGATTGATGGCACTGGTCTATCTCATTTACCCGGGATCATGTTCCGACGATTTGACTGGCCCTTAATTTCTGCTTTTGTTGAGATATGGCAGCCAGACACGAACACGTTTCACATGCCTTTTGGGGAGATCACGATCATGCTGCATGATGTGTATCATATTCTAGGGCTTCGTGTCGACAGTTCCATGGTTTCCACTACTCCTAGCACGGACGTTTTACGGGACGCGTGCTCGGTTACCTTGGATATGACTGAGGAAGAGCTGAATGAGAAGTGCGGTACCAAAACCGTATGGCAGGGTAGTGGGGTCGTGACTGAGAGGATAGTGGAGTTGACCTTGGAGGCGCAGAGGCCCTTCAGTTTCCATTACAGGGCGTACCTGTGGTTAGTACTCGGCGGTTGTTTGTTTTTGGACAAGAGTGGAAACCGTACTCATCCTTCCTTCCTCAACAAGCTGTTTGTTGAGGATGTTCAGATTAGTGAGTACTCCTGGGGTTCTGTTGTGCTAGCATACATGTACCGGCAATTGGGTACAGCATGACGAAGAGATGCTGATTCTATCGCTGGCTGCCTTACGCTTCTGCAGGCGTGGATCTACGAGTACTTTCCGTGTTTCCGGACTCAGCAGGGGACCTTGACCAGAGAGCTTGCTATTCCTCGTGCGTCCGCCTGGGATGTTGGATCGGGGTGCCCTAACAAGAGCATGGAGCGCCTTCTCGCTTTTCGGGCTAGGTTGGATCATTTGACTGACAATGAAGTTAACTGGCTACCGTACGAAGTTGATCCAGCACGACGCGTGCCTGCTACTCTTTTCATTGGCTGCATCCAGTATCATAGCATCATTGAGCCATACATGCCTGGTCGAGTGGTTCGGCAACTTGGATACGTCCAGGGCATTCCACCAGCCATTATCAGGCCTGAGAAGGCTAAGAGACCGACGAACTTGAAGATGTATCGGGTTGACTTTCCTCCAGAGATGACATCTGTGATGTGGACTCGGTTTGTCCCTGGTATGTCTTTTAGTGTCGTGGTAGGTGCCCTCAGCAGACTTGGTGGTGGTGCTCCTACAGTCGGTCCTGGTTACATGCAGTGGTTGTACCGATTTTCTCATCCACGTGTTTCTCCAGTTGCGTCATCACATGAGAGTCGCACACTGCCAGAGAGAACTAACACGAATTACGTAAGTAGTTGTATTTTTTGGTATAATTTAATAAGTTGCTATTTTAATATGTTGTTTATAATATGTTGTTTTTAAAATCCGATTTTTTTAATATGTTGTTTTTTTTAAAAAAAAACTTGTGATTTATTTAATATATTGTTTTTTTAATTGAAGTGGATGGGTCGGTCTATGGAGGTCATCAACAGGACCCTGGAGGATTATCCGAGCCTATCGCGTGATACAAGAGCAATGGCTGAGGTGCTACGAGCTGATTGGAGGGTGATGATGGGGTTGTGAACTTCCTGTTTTTTTTTATTTCCCTTGTACGTATTTCGTTTATGTACTATTTATTCGTCACGTACTTTAAGTATTGAACAATTGTTTTGGTGGTTTTGTAAATATTTTGTTTAATTAAGTTCAATTCGTTGCAAATTACATAACGACAACTGTTTAACATAAATGAAAGTACAACAACATGTTCACTATCTAATTAAGGCATCCCACATGTTCCTTCTAGCTTCGTAACGCTGATCCCAACCGTCAACACTTGGGTCGTGGTGCTCGGTCCACCAACCTGCAACCGGGGGAAATGGCGAATCAGGTGCAAGTTCAATACAAATAAAATGTGAGGCCCCAACTGTAGCGATGACAAACTCTCGCTCCGGTGCTGTGACCCCCCTTCTTGCCCGCAACGGCAATATCGTGAGGCATGGGTAGTAGCAAGTTGGTGTTTGGCCTACACCAAGAATAATAACCGCTGCGTTGAACCAAGTCGCAATAGGAAATAAATCTTGTATTGCAACCATCCAATGACGGGAATCAACCGCTCCACCGTCCCATCGAATACGCTGCACATTGATCTCAAGTCTTACAAGCCCATAAATCCTCTCATATAGGGCTCGATAACCGAGGACCTCATTCTCTATTGTCTCTCGAGCGTCATACCATCGGCCTTGATCACCGAAGAAGAACTCGGCCACACAACGAAACCCACAGTTCCCATCGCCAATGACATCCTTCCATCCTGTGATGTAAGGCAACATCGGCCCTGGAAGCATGTGTCGATAACGGCTTTGGCTAATGTCGTTTACATCTCCTGCACAAATGTAGGTTTCAGTTAATAGTTTAGTGAACGCTGATTTATGTGAAAAACACAACACTCAATCGTACCTGTTTGTCGTGCGCCGCGTTCAGTGTGTTGGCGGTTTACATGTTCAAAATAAGAACGATCACGTCTTGTATCATTGTTTCTTGGTCGACCACGAACCCGGTGGTTTACAGCAGGCTCTCTGAGATCGGAATGATCCGGATGCAGCTCCTCTTCAATGATGCGAGACACGTTTCGAAGAACAGCAGGATCACTATCAAACACCTCCTCCATCAGAGAACGAAAATGTGTGGCATCCTCGGTCGAGTCATTGCCAGGCACCGTCCCACCATCTCCAGAACCAATAAACAAGGTCCTCCAAAACAGGTGAATTTGCCTTATGTACAATCCTTTCCCAGCAGCTAGCGAATCATGTATCTGGCATGCACAGGGCAACCCGTGGGTCACACGCATTGCACATCCACATCGTTCGTGCACTTGATAACTCAGCTCCCTCATCCTCCTTGTCTCCTCATCGAGAACCTTCAAACAATGCTGAGACACCTTCCCGTTTATACGTGACAGTGGCAACTGTCGGTACTTTTGACCTATCTTCGACCTAGAAGCCTCCAAACCATTACGAATTGCGATGATTTGATTACCAATGTGGCTATGAACTCGAGCCCATACGGTATCTAAAGAACCTGCACATTACAAAGAAAAACCGTTATGATTTGTAACTCAAATTCCCAAAATAAAGTACATACATGAAGTTCAATAATCTTACACCAAACCTGTCGAGGAATCAAACCACATCTTCACGGCTGAATGTTGGCTCTCAACTCTGCAAGTGCTGGTGTTGCCATAATGTAGAACTTGGTTTGTCCAAAATGTCACGAACTTTGTTTTATGACAAAGCCATGTGTTCTCTACATATTGTATCACTGCTGGAAAACTTGCCCACTTATCTTTCATGTTTTCTACAGCGGCCTCATAATCTTCCTCGGTTGCAGCGTCCATGATACGTTTCCATTTTCCGTTTTTGAAAGACGCACCGATTTTCTTGCTTTTGAACATAGCAGTGACCCGAGCCTCCACATCTTTGTTAATGTGCCATCGACAAAGTAAGTGCGAGGTTCCTGGAAACACTTCCCTCAATGCAGCACATAGCCCAAGCTCACGGTCTGTCAAGAAAACCGGCGGCTCCTTATTATACCCAATCACGTCTCTCAACCTCTGCAAAACCCATCGATAGCTTGTCGTGCTCTCGTTGCGCATGAACACATAAGCGACGAGAAAATTCTGATTTGTCGGTGTCACGCTAACTATCTCAAAGAACGGCATCCCGTATCGGTTAGTCTTGTAAGTGGAATCCACACCGATCACATAGGGGTACGTCCGTAGGATGTCTACCATGACTGGATGCGCCATAAAGGCGTGCTGTAAAACGCCTTCATCATCGGACATGACCTAGTAAACATACTGACTCTGTCTCGCCAAATGTAGAAATTGCTGAACAACTCCTCTCCCATCAGACATCTCCTCTCTGAAGTCATTCCGGCAGTTGTAGATGTGTCTGATGTTTGGATGATCATCAGGAAATTGCTCCGCAATAGTCGCCATGATGTTACGCGGTGCAACCTTAGACTTCGTCATGTCACGCACAACCTGCTTCGCATTCGGGCTCAACCCACTAATTTTACGATGACCCTCTGGATACGCAATCATTGGATGGTTGTGGGTCCCAGCTACATCATCTTTCGCCCGTATAAACCAAGTATTGGTGACGAACTCGTAACATATCTTGATGTAGAAAGGACAACCAATGCCCTTGGTTTTGGTGTCCTTCTGAATTGCGTTCTCAAGATCTCTCGGCTTACTCCTGCGTCCCCGGTCACATCTTAAATATCGAACTTCCCTCTGTTTGTTGAAAGACGATTTCACCAAAATAAATCCCAGATTTATTGCAACAGCATCCGCCCATGTAACTGCATCGTCAAACGTTAGAAAAACCGTGTCTGTCACAAAATGTGCACTGTAATTCACAACGTCACCGTCGTCTTCAACCTTCGAATCCTATCAAAATAACAATACAAACAAATAAAACACGCAAGGATTACTATTTTAAATTTAACAATAATAATAACAATAATAATACAAATAATCATAATAATAATAATAAAAATAACAATAATAACAATAATAATATTAATAGTATTAATAGTAATAATAATAATAATAATAATAACAATAATAATACTAATGATAATAATAATAACAATAATAATACTAATGATAATAACAATAACAATAATAATACTAATAATAATAACAACAATAACTACGTAACATTAACAAATAATAACTAATATAATAATAATAACAACAATAGTAATAATAATAGTAGTAATAATATTAATAATAATCATAATCATAACAGAAATTTACAAAATTAACAAAACTAATATTAATAACCATAATAATAATAATAATAATAATAATAATAATAATAATAATAACAATAACAATTACGTAAACAAAAAAACAAAAAAAAAAGGACATCCGCTTGTTTTTTTTCGGAAATCTGGGGGAGATCCGCCCAAAATTTCCGGATGTCCCTAATTACATCCGGAAATTTCATCCGGATGTGTACATCCGCCTGAAATTTCCGGATGTTATTGGGGACATCCGGAAATTTTGGGCGGATCTCCCCCATATTTCCGGAAAAATCAAGCGGATGTCCTATTTACAAAAAAAAAAAAAAATTCGAAATACTTACAGATTCTTCCGTCGAACCCTCCGGCGTGTGAACGTTGTCGTCGTCCATCGTAAAACATCACTCCGTACACTTTCCTTTTCTGGCCCAGGATTTTTAAATTCCTCGGGATTACCGTACAATGGTGGAACCGGGATTTTTTAATGCTTGGGATTTTTTTAACACAAGTGGTGGGTCGGTAATGTTTTTAATGTTGTCGGTAACTAAATTTACCCATGGTGGACCCTTAAATAGATAAAATACCCATAAGGGCAAAAATGTCATTTCAATTAAAAATGTGAACGTCACCCAGTAATTTGCGAACGACGAATAGCAGTTCAGTTGTTTTATTAGACATGTGTGTCAATACTTAAATTCAAATTGTCATAAATGAGCTTTTAACAAAATATAATGCACTATATAAATACAAACAAGCTTCTAATAATTCGAAACTATATACTCCGTATATGATGATAAAAGCAATAGCCTTTCAACCTTATAAATTAATTAACTCTCTCTTCATTTATCGATACTCATATAAACTTATATTTAAAACAAGATATTAAGAAGAATAAAAAATCATTCATACTTCTCAAAATTAAGATTTTAAACGGAACAAATAAAACAGAATTGTATATCACATATATATCACCTAAACAAAGAAGTGGGTACTCCTTTTAGGAAACTATTATAATTTCACAAAACGACAACTTGTTGTTTCTCTAAAAGTTTTCTGCTTTGTAGTTTTGTACTTCTATTTAAAAAATCCCTTTTTTTTTTTTTTTTTTTTTTTTTTTTTTTTTAAGTTTCTCGGTTGTAATAATTAAAGGCATTGTTTATTAGGGGAGTGTGGGGGGTTATAATTAAATGCGTACAATACTCATAATTCTTATTTTGTTTTACAAAAATTTGAAGGTAATATACTATAACTTGGCCAATTAATTGATGCCATTTACACTATCTTAGATTCTTAATCCACTTTATTAATTAGCACTTGTTTTCTAATTACTGCCTACTTCCCTAGTATCAAGCCAATTTTTTCTGCCAAAGTTGTCTAGTAATTATCTCGTTTATATATACTCTCTCCATCTCATATTGTTACTTTATACGTATTTTTCAATTTTCCATTTGTTATATATAGAAATGTCAATGCGCCACAATAAATAGAGTGTTAATAACTTATTCTTATTATTTAAAGTCATATTGAACTTACCTTTATTGCCAAACAAGCTCCTTATGTTCTTGTAATAAATAACTAAATAAATAAGAATTGAATTTGCTTTACACAAAGTTTTAAATGTAGTTGGCCACACGGAAGGGTTACTTCGTTAGTGTTATATGGGTTTTAAATGTAGTTGGCCACACGGAAGGGTTATTTCGTTAGTGTTATATGGGTTACTCGGTCAATGTTACAAGGGTTATTTCATCAGTACTATAAGGATTATTCAATCAGTGTTACAGGGTTTACTCGATCAATCACTAGTAGAATAACACGAATGCGCACCGATTCAAACCCCCCTATCGCACCGGTTGTGAACCGGTTTAGGTTTGAGGGATGCCAAAAAAAAAACTTTAGCGCCGGTTCCAAACCGGGGGCAATTCTTAGTTTTAGCATCGGTTAACCGGTGCGAATTAATATGTTTGGCACCGATTAACCGGTGCTAAAAAACATTGCCGCGCTTTTTTTTTGGGTATTAATAACAATTGGCACCGGTTTGGTTCAAAATCGGTGTCCTTAATGCCCCAAAAAAATAAAAATATTTTTTTTTTTTGCATTTTTTCACTTAAATTGATATATAAACACTAACATATATATAAATTTACATATTTTCATTAAAAAAGGCTGTAATATTATGATTTTCGTCCAAAAAAATAAAATAAAATAAAATACAAGGTTACACGCAAATAAAATAAAATACAAGGTTACACCCGTTTTCAGCAACAACCCGTTTTCAGCAGCCCATTCTTAGCAACAAAATCCACCAACATTAACAACATCAACACCTTCATCATCTTCAACAACACCTCATTCTGGAAAAAAAAATTAAAGCAGGAGACTTGTAAAAAAAAATAGCCATGTTTTCGGAATACCTTGACGAGTTTTTCAGCATTGAGATGATGTTTCAGGATGAGGAGGAGTTTCTCATAGCAATGTACCACTCAACATCACCAGAAACACAAAAATAATTCATTAGATATGGTTTTACAAGATGAAGAGGATTTTATGGCAGCAACAGAAAACACAACACAAGACAACTTTAATTCATCACAACAAAACATTCAAACAGAAGTGGATGTCCATAACACAAAGGAACCAAGGAGGGAGCTCAGTGTAGCAAAGAAAAGAGCTATAGTTGACAAAATGCTCTCATTAATGCATAATGGCTCATTACCAAGGGGCAATTTGGCTCGTTTTGCAAGGGACTTTAGTGTTCACAAATCAACGATAACAAGATTATTTAAGGAATTATGCAGGCAAATGCAAGAGGGGAGTGTTATCAATGTCAGAAGCAAAAAAATTGGCAAGTGCGGGAAAAAACTAATAGAATACACAGCTGAATTCTTACAGTTAGTGCCATTGCACCTCAGAACAACAGAGGCTAGATATGCTGCTGCACTAAAGATACCATGTTCAAGCTTTCATTTTGTGTACAAGCAAGTAGCAAAGAAGGCTAGCAAAAACCGGCCAGCAGGGACAATAGAATCTAAGGCAACACAGAATGTGAATAGAGATGAAATTAGAAAAATGCTCATGAATGAAGTCATTCCAGCCATCAAATGCAAGTGGCCAGAGAGTTTGCCTAGGGATGTGCTCATACAATGGGACAATGCAAGGCCCCATCAAGTCCCTACTAACTGGGAATTCAAGGCAGCCACTAAAGATGGGGGTTCAACATACAGTTTGTTTATTAGCCCCCACAATCACCCGACTTAAATATGTTGGATTTGGGACTCTTTCGAGCTATACAATCAATTTAACATCATGCATTCCCCCAAAACTTAGATGAATTAGTAGAGAGGGTGAAGGTGGCATATGATGAATTTCATCCTAGTGTAAACAAATACACTTGGATCACATTACAAATGTGCATGGTTGAAATTTTAAAAGTCGATGGGGGGAACAAGTACAAGATCCCACACATTGGGAAACAGAGACTAGAAACGCAAATCATGTATGCTCAACTGCCACACATAACCAACAAGCAACATTTTGTAATAGGACTCATTTATTAGAAACATGTTGGTTAGGTGTACTTTTGTATTTTGGCTTTTGTTTTGAAGGGCAGTCTTGTTAGAAAACTTTTGTAGTTAGACTCATTTGTAACACAATGTTTGTTCAATGGAATGAAGTCCCTTCATCATATGGATTATCCTAGTGTAATTATTTACGGCCAAGGGACTCGACGCATTATGATATCTATAGCACACAACATGTCCGCTCAAAGAGGTTCATTAGGCACATTAATAGTACACATGCTCATCATTCATAACAATAACAGTCCCCTTGCATGCAATAACCTAGCAACAATAACCAGCAACAATAATCCAGCCCGCAAGCAACGTATGATGGTATACAACATGAATCGTTCATCCGCCACTTAAACATGCTTCTAAATATAGAATTAAAATAAATTTAGAAAACTTAAATAACAGAGAGGTTAGGGTTTCAGAAATCTACCAAAAAAATTTCAGCAAGCAAGTTCATTTCGAACAGGGAGACTCAGTTGGAGCATTTTTCAGGACCTTTTGTGAGCTAGCAACTATCTAACTCTAGAGATAATAGAGAGAGGCAGGAGGAAAGGGAGAGTGAACCTCACAATTGAACTACAAGCAGCACTCAGTAGCAACAATTACAAAGCAAAGGCAACAGCAACAACAACATGCAGCAAGGAGGAGCCCGGGCTACGGAGGGGTAACAAGGAGGGTAGTCAAGTGTCAAACCCTACAGCACCAAAACCACCCACCTCTACCACCCAGCAACACCGAAACAACCCAACAACCACGAAACCACCAACGTAACCATCACACCCACCACCGCAACCACGAAACCACCACCGCACCCACGATACCACCACCACACCCAAGAACCCACCACCACTAGCACCAACCACCATAACCATAACCACAAAAAAAAAAAAAAAATCAGAAATCCTATCATCTTACATTCTCACCATTAAATTCAATCAAAATTTCAATTGTTCATCATTAATAAAAAAAATCATAAAACCTAGATTTCAAATCGAAGAGCACATACCTTCATGAAGAAATCCACCACCACTGCAAAAGATCCGGCGTCGACAAAGAAATAGATCAGTCACCATCGCCGCTGTGATGGTTAGTGCGAGGATAAATAAAAGAGAGAAAAAGATAGCTGAGAAGAGAGTGCGGCGGGGTGGAATGGATAAAAAGATAAAGAGCTGAGAGGAGAGTGCGGCGGGGTGGAATGGACGGCGGTGGTGGAGAAAGGAGAGAGCTAGAAGAGAGAGATCTAGTTGAGGAGAGAGAAGAGAGAGATAAAACGAGAGACTGAGGAAATAGAAAGAAAGAAGAGGGGAAAGAGAAAGAAGGAAAAGGGGCGGGTTTTTTTTTATTACAATTGGCACCGGTTTGAACCGGTGCCATTTCAAGAAATTCGCCCCGGTTTGGTTTGAACCGGTGCCATTGCTCTTACACTAAATCCCGCCTTTTTTTCCCACTGATTTTTAAGAACCGGTGCGAATTCCTCGATGCGCATTTGTGTTTTTCTACTAGTGAATGTTATAAGAATTACTTTGTTCTTTTACAAGTGGTCACCATATGGCCAGCCGCACACAAAATGCCTAGTTTTCTTTATTTCTTAACTATACTATTACTATAGATAATAGAATCAATATGTAAACATGTTTGACATAATTATATATAGGGTTTTTCTAAGCTATTCCCATCAAGTTATTGAAATTCTCAGCTGTACCCATGCTTTTTCAAAGTTATAAGTTGTGCCCTCCACCTCACGTTATTTTATCAACAATAACCTTTGACAGCCACAATAGTTAACTGACATTAGAGGAATGTTAAGTGGCGTTACTAAAATC